CGGTATACAAATGAACTACCATGCGCAACTGGATAATATACAGTACCCTCTGCTGATGAGTTCTTACTAATATTTAGTGTGAACAATGCAGAGATTAGCAGATTACACCGGGTGTTCTATTTAAAATAAAGTAGTAACTTGCTTTTAAATGTGACCAGTATTCAATATTAATTTTGTTTATAACCCTTTTCGGGAAAAATTTTAATTTGACTTAAAGTACTATATATATTTTAACTACATAATTAAATGTAATAATTATAATTTAGGTAGAATTTATTGAAATTTTATATTTGTTCTTCATTTTTAGAAATTATTGTTAAATATGTCAAAAACCTTACATTTTAGCCATATACTTCTCTTTGCTTCATGTGAAAATCACAGTTATAAACCCACCACATAGTTTAAGACATCATTAACATTATTATCTAAATATATGTTCGCGCTTTAACACTTGTTATTAATTTGACGTTGATAGTTATCAATGTCTGACATGGGCAAATCCAGAGAGACTAAAAAATCGTACAAGCGTTTTATTATAAACACTAATTAATATATTATTACATAGAAAGTCCTGCGTCAATCACATCAATAATCTGACACCGCTTTTGACCATTCAAGAAACTTATTATTTGCTTGCGGTTGTCCCAAACTGTACAGGATGTTTTAAAGATCGATTAAGTTTGTGATTGGCATTATTCATTTAATATCGGTGAGTCAGAGGATTTATTTTCGGCAGGACATGTTTTAAATATTATAGTCACGTTATTTTTTATCTAGACTTCTATCATGTACCATATTTTATCAGTGGTTTCGATCAGGTTAATTTATAAGATATCGTATACATGACGTCAAGGTTTTTTAGTAAATCTACTTAAAAAACAACAAATTTATGTGAAAACTAAAAAATACTATCAGCTTTATTAGACTGTGACTGTAATAATAATACTATTGTAATTACTAATTGAAAAAATAAAAAATAATTTACCATAAAATATTTTTATACAAGTCTGTAAAGCTTATAAATGATCGTTTTTAAAGGGCAAATTCAGGGTGAATAATCTGAACACTAGATATGATAAAAATGTTAACTTTTATAATAATTTAAAATAATTTAATTTTAGTATCTAAAATTTACGGAAAACTACATAAATCGGGAGCATATTGGCAACGGCGCTTGCCTTAATATTGGACAAGATTGCGCGATTCACTGTATCTTAATATCAGATATTATGCCGGTTGGATTATGTAAGGTTACGCATGCGTCCGGTTACGTTTGTTGATTGTTGCCACATTGTTTAGAAAATACGTTTTTTAGGTACCTGCATAGAATTTCGTATACAACATGAATCTTAAACAGTATCTATTTTTAAGTTTTATTTTATATTTTTACATTGCATCCAGGTTTTTTAGATAATATTAATAAAAAGTTTAAACATTGATTTTGTTTTAACACACTTGAACATAGCGATCTCTTCATATTTTTGGGATAATATATTTATAGTTAATTTAAAAAATGATTGGTGCAGAAGTAGATCCATTTAATGCTGCATATGTTTAAAATTACTTTTTTCATTAGAGTTTAAAATAAAAATTGCCTCTTGATATCTACTCTAGCCATTTTAAAAATAAAAGTTGATTGAATTTTTTTAATGGTACCATTCTAAATGTGTATAAAATCAATTTCACTGGAAAAAGGTTTGTAGCATATCATCTGATGTAGGTATTTAGGCATATTACATACATATATCCAAAAAATATTTTTCCAATAACTAATATTATTTATAAACTTGGAAATGACAGAAAATTGTATAATATAGCGATCTTAAAGTTTATCTTTTGCAAATTTAAGAACAATAAGCTTAAGTTTTTGATTAAATATGACATGTTTTATAATGATGTGCCATAAACGGATTAACTAATATAGATAAGCGATTGAAGGCAGGTATTGTCTTAAATATAAAAAGTATTGATGTCATTTATTTAAAACTTTGCGACTTAATAGTAACAATAGTTTTTATCAACTATTGATAAATTATTAGCCACCTTAAAAACTTTACACATTTGGGATTAATCCTGAGATTCAAGGGCGTAACCAGGATATTCTCCGGTGTGGGACAAAATTTTCTCTAGGTTGAGGCAAAACCGAGGGCATCTCTAAAAAGCTTATTAAAGTTAACTAACTAACTAACAAAGTACTTATTAAAAAGTTGGTTTTATTTGAACAATTCAAAACACAGTTACACTTTTCAGAAAAGTTCTATGGGAACTTCGCCACAGTAAGAAAATCTACAAAATAAAATAGTTATTTTATCATACAGAAAGTTTGAGGTTTTTTGTTTTTACCTCATTAAGTAATTGTTATCAGGTTTGCAGTTTAACTTGATATAATGTCATTTTAACAGAACGTCAACGGTTTTTATTGTTTTTATAGACGTATCTGTTGAAAGAAACTAAAGTGTTCTTGAATAGTTGTATTTAGGTATTTTAAATAGTTTTTTCTTTGTTCTTTCTGTTTTTGTTTGCTTCCGACGACGGGAACAGATATACTTTCCGAAACGTTAAGCATTCTTTGTCCGTTGGGCAAATTTCTTTAAATCACTGCTGACAAGCTGGTCTTTGTTGGATTAATGCAGCAATGTTTACAAAAAAATAACTATTTTATTTTGTAGATTTTCTTACATTGGCGAAATGCCCATAGGACTTTTTTGAAGAGATGAATCTGTCACAGAGGTATATAATTTTTTACAGTCACAGTATGTGAAATATTGCAGAATATCTTTTGGCAGTATGAAGTCTAGGGTTGGCTCAACTCAATATGTATATACATACTTTTCTCTTGACTCTTGAGGTATGGGGTAAGTGTCCCACCCTGCCCTTAAGGCCAATTCTGAAGTATAAACTGTCTATTTAAATCAGTAATTTTTGTGCCTTTGTGGCGGGTTTATTTCTGGAAAAAAAATCTATGGTAATTAAATTTTGGAAAACCAAAAAGGTACATTTTTTGAAATTCTACGGTATTGGAATTCAAACGAAGTATGATCTGAGACTTGAATACTGGAGACTTCCATTGCCACTAGATGGTTACATTAAGAGAAAATGAAGATCGGAGGAAAAAAAGCGTTGATCAAAGAAGATGGCAGGAAAAAGATGGTATTGATTAATCGTTAAAATCAGTAATAATCCATTACAACGAAGGTATCTGTTTGATTTTAAGCGTGGTTCGAAGATCACAACATCAACGAAAAGGCAGATAAAATGGTTAAACAAGACTCATTAATGCAATTAATCTAACCCGAACTCTTCTTCGGTGCTGCAAAAACAAATACAAGATTGCCCAGAAACTAGTGTGTGGCCATTAATGGTGGGTGTCTCACTGTTGGAATTACATGTACATTTTCTTGGCAGTCGCTGGCAATCGTTGGCATCAGTCGACCGTAATCATATGGCAGACATAGGCAGTCTTATTCGCAGTCATTGACAGTCATTTGGCAGTGCATGCACATTTTTTACCCAAGTGAGACACCCTTCGGGGTAGCCTAATGACTCGAATGGTAGGTAAATTCTTCAGGACAGAATTAGACGATAGGTTATAGTAGAACACGCACCAAAATTTATACAGCTGATAAGCAAAAACAGGAAAACTGTAGTAGATCTAGTAACAGGGCATTGGAAGCTTAATAAGCATTAGTATTTCATCGGATTAACATAGGAAATTATGTGTAGCTTCTGTCATTTAGAAGAAGATATGCAAGACGTATTTTTTCAGTGCGATTCATAAAAACTTATACCGGGTGCGTCTCAAAAGTGGCTCACCCTTATAATTTTTTATTTTTTTAGATAAAAAACGAGATTTGGTATATTAGTATAAGACATAAATTAGGATTGATTGACGTATTCAGTTGTTTTTGGTCACTTCCTGTTTCACTTTCGGAAATTACTACAACTTTTGATTTTTAAATGCCACCCTCGATATAATTTTATTTTATTCGATAGAATGACATATTATCATATGTCAATTTTTGACATTTTCGCTGATAGAAAATGACACTCTGAATAGAATGACATATCATGTGTCAATTTTTGACATTTTCGCTTTAAAAAAAACGTATTTTAAATTTTAATCTAGAGAGCTAGGGCTGTGTTAATAATAGAAAAAGTAAGGAAAAATACATTTGATTTTCGTGTCTTGTTCTAGCCGATTGAAAGATAGCCAAATCGTATTTTTAATCATATCTGCTTTTTTTCAAATGGAACAAGGGTGGCTCATTAGCATATTTGGAAAAAGCATTTTTTACAAATGATTTGATACCACATACTTGGTATTTTGTGAGTCAAATTGTCGTTATGAACCGCATGTTACAATTTCAAATAAACCATATACGAAAATGTCACATACGATATGTCATTCTATTCAGGGTGTCATTTTTTATCGAATAAAGTAAAAAAAAATCCGAGAGTGTCATTTAAAAATAAGAAGTTATAGTCACTTCCGAAAGTGAGACAGGAAGTGCCCAAAAACAATTGAATACGTCACTCAATCCTAATTTATGTGTTATACTAACATACCAAATTTCGTTTTTTCATCTGAAAAAATAAAAAGTTATTAGTGCGTCTCAAAAGTGGCTCACCTCTGACTTTTTGTGACGCACCCGATACGGTCGATTTCCTCTTCCTACTTATTAAACTTTGTGAAAAGGATACTACTGGAGAATATAATTCTAGAGAACCATAAACAGATCTGTAAAGATCGCAGTGGAATTGAAGTAGAATAATATAATATTGGCCAATAACCATCTCACAATCTAAGGTGTTTTAAAATTGGTACAAATATCTCAATCATAAGTTAATTCAGAACGGGCGCCTGTCTTTCTTCCGGCTTCCTAACCTCAGGTGTTACTTCGACTTGCAGGACCCGCGAGAGGAGCACCTTACTGCGATCAAATCCTGCAACACGACCTGGCAACGTTGGCCGAGCAGGTGAAACAGTTTATCGTCGAACGCTAGCGAGAACCGCACGCTTTTTACGTGGGCAAAAATCGAAAAACGAAACGAAAATACGGGCATATGGTGGATTAATCGACGTTGCCGCGGTTGAAGGGTCGTCCCGTGACGTACCTCGGGGTTGCCTAGTAGGGTGCCACCCGGAAATATCACCTGCGGTACTGCCACCAGCCTTTTTTTCCTATCGGTACTCGGCTCGTACCGAAACCAGGTTAGGTTTTGTGTTTGTTGTGCGTCTGCTGAGAGTTGTGTATATTTGTAGAGCTGATTGTCGGAGGAGGCAGTGTTTCGGAGAAAATACAGTTTTTTTCGTAGCTATTTCTCTGCATGATCGTGCTAATAATTAGTATCAAGAAGTACGTGAGTTTACTGAAGGAAAAACTAGTCTATCTAATCACAAAAATACACATTGTATCATTTCTTTAAATAGAATATATAACTTTCGTTTCCAACTTAATTTTTGAAAAGATCGTTTAAATATAATTATTTATCTCTTTTGAGATATAACAAGAAATTTTGGAATGTATCTAAAGACCAAGTCATTATTCTTTCCTATCCCATCTAATCATAAAAACTGTATATCAGGTCACTTTAAATTGGAAAATGAACTTGTTTATAACTTAATTTTTATAATAGGGTAAGGTATAATCTGTTATTCAGTCGAGGTATTAATATAACTACAAAATTTATTTTATTATTTAATTTGTCTAGCTTGTAACTACCAATTTTTTTATTTAACTCATTAACAATTTTTTTTTCTAATCTTAGGAACTTTTCTTTATTATAAGCAAATAACACTAATAGAATTGACGTTGAAACGTTTAATGCTACACAATTGAAAATTACACTAATTACTACAAAACCGGAAGAGACTTTATTTTGAAAAACTCTGGACGCACTAACCATGCTAACCATCATCAATTTTATTGAAATTGAGTTTATAAATATAAATCATTTGATGATACTTACATGATTAGCAAAACGTGCATTCGAATTAAAAATAGGGTTTTGGTATATTATGAGAAATTGGTGTATTTTTAGGGTTCCGTACCCTAAAACGTATAGGGGTAAAAACCAAACCCTATTACTAAGACTTCGCTGTCTATCCGTCCGTCTATCACAAAGGTCTTATGAACCGTTATAGCTAGACAGTTGAAATTTTTACAGATAATGTATCTATGTTGCCGCTATAAGAACAAATTCTAAAAACAGAATTAAGTAAATGTTTATAAATAAAAAAGTACTTTCACTAAACATTATCTTTTAAGTAAGAATTTTACATAGAATCTTTCAAGCCCTCGGTGGCCGCGTGGTTAAAGCGTTCGGACTTTACGCTGCTATGACGTTGGAGCCGTAGTAAGGCAGGTTCGAATCCTAGTCAAGGCGACTTTTTTTAATCCTTTTTTTTTATTTTGTCATATTTATTTTTACTTTTTACATATTTATTATTGATTAATACAATTTTTAGTAATGTGTTTCTTCATTTTTTTAAATTACTTATACGCGTATTCAAAATTTCAGCTAAATCGGAAAAAAAGTTTATAATAATATAGTGTCTAATGTTGTATCGATAATGAATGGTACGGAACCCTTCGTGCGCCAGTCCGACTCGCACTTGACCAATTTTTTTAAATGAAACTTTGTTTAAAATTTTCATTTTAAAAAGATCAATAAACAAAATTTGCAGATCGGACCTTTGAACAATTTCTTTATGAAAAAAATGTCTATACCTATGTGGCGGATTCATCTTTTCAAAAACATCCTTATGGGTATTTCGCCATTGCACTGCAAGAAAATCTACAAAATAAAATAATTATTTTTTGTAAACACTTCTGCGTTAAACCTAAACGGACGCTGCTTGTCAGAAGTTATGTTGATAGTAATGCAAATTTGCCTAACAAAGAAAAAAAATATAATGCTCAACGTTTCGGAAAGTTATCTCTTTCCGTCGTCGGAAGCAAAAAAATACAAAGAATAAAGAAAAAAACTATTTAAAATATTGAAATTCAACTATTCGAGAACACTTTACTTTTTTAAAACAGATACGTCTACAAGAAACCGTTGACCTTCTGTTAAAATGACATTTTTAACTGATATTTAAACTTCAAAATTAACCAATTACTACCTGATAACAATTACTTAATAAGGTAAAACCAAAAAGCCCCAAACTTTCTGTATGATTATTTCTAAATTTTACGTATGTTATGTTTATTTATCTTGTTTCTATAAATATAATATAATATATATAATAATATAATATTTCTATAATATATATTATTGTTCTTTAAAATCAAAGAAGCGATTGCCATACATTACTAACATCTACAGATGCATGAGCAATACATTTATTTTTATTAGAATGAATTAAAAAAGCCTCTTAATACAGAAAGTTTGGTGCTAAAAATGTCAATTTAACAGAACGTCAACGGTTTCTTGTAGACGTATCTGTTTTAAAAAAGTAAAGTGTTTTCGAATAGTTGAATTTAAATATTTTAAATAGTTTTTTTCTTTATTCTTTGTATTTTTTTGCTTCCGACGACGGAAAGAGATAACTTTCCGAAACGTTAAGCATTATTTTTTTTTCTTTGCTAAGCAAATTTGTATTACTATAAACATAACTTCTGACAAGCAGCGTCCGTTTAGGTTTAACGCAGAAGTGTTTACAAAAAATAATTATTTTATTTTGTAGATTTTCTTGCAGTGCAGTGGCGAAATACCCATAAAGGATTTTTTTGGAAAGAATTTCTTTATGTATGCAAGATAAATTTTATATCTAAAAGTTTTAGATGGTTCAGATTATCATCAAATATATCTAGTTCAATACAAACTGTTTTAAATAGTAGTATTTCTCTAGTTTTAAATAGTAGTAATATTTTTTTACTGAGAAATATTAAAATATCTACTTATAACCAAATTAAATTAGTAATTAAGTAAAGGTGTCTAGACATCAAAAACTCTTGGAACTAAGTAGGTAATTTACCCAATCGCAGAAATTGAATATTTACGTCATTTCTTTAAATAGAGAAACTTGTTATTTAAATATGATAATATTTGGAATCTAAACCTGATTTTCAAACAAATGACATTGCTTGGGATTTACTTTTATTGTATTTATTCCTATATTTATAATATGAAATATGGAATTATTATATCATTATTTATTTATTTTAGTCTGGATTTAAGTAAATTACAGTAAACATTTTTTATATATCCTAGAAGTACTGCAATAATGCGGTATATTTATTTATTGATAATATCATTATTATAATAGGACCTCTTATATAAAGCAAATAAATTTGTGTTAATTGCTTAATAATTAGTCACTCTTAATTGATTTACTTATCTTGTGTTAAAGTTCAGGCCTCGGTTCGGGCACATAAAATTCTTTTTTTTCAATTTTATATAAATAAAGTTTTAATGAACCAACTTTAATAATATGTACCAGGCTGGTTAAATTTAGGATCATATCAGTAAATTGAGTTGTGCCTCAATATTGAAAATTCGTTTATTGGTGATTTTACAATAATCATCTATTAAAATAAAAGGGACAATACAATATATTATAATAATATGCCCAGCGAGATGATCGTTGACTGTCGGCAAATTGCATTTTCTATAATTTTTTGGATGTCGTTTGTCAAAATTTTAACTGATTCGTTGGACAGACTCTACCTAAGCTCAATATGATAAAAATCTGAATAAAAAATTCACTAAAATAGTGAATAAATTTGAAGTTAAAACAATAATTAATAAACAAAACTCAAGTATAACGAAATCTGTTCAATATATAATATGTATTATTTATAAAAATGTATCTTTTTCGGAATTATCACGTCACATATCTAATTTGAATATAAACTTTAATATCACTTATAACGTCTTGTCATGTTTTTTTTTCTTTTAATTGTAATCATTAACGTAACACTATTTTCTTTATCTATGTACTGTATACTGTTGTCTTACTGTTATTTACTTGGTATATAATATCATTTGTTTTTAAATATACGGATTTACTATTGTTTTGAAAATTAACTTGTCATTGAACCAGAATAATACTTTAACTTAAGCGTTAAGTAACTTAACGTTCCTAATTCATTCAGTTGTATTTAGTTATTTACTAAAAAGAAATAAATAAATTTTTTTTTCATAGAGAACTTTTTTATTTTTGGAGAGAGAACAGTCATTTAAAATGAAGTTTTGTTATGTAGTACCAAAATGTCATAATATGCTGTCATACTATACTTTTTAAATGGGACACTCTGTATATTAGAAGTGTATTAGACTACACATTTTTTTTCTGATTTCAAAAATATAGTAAGTCTCCGGAAGGCCTTTACAAGGGCAAACACTTTTTTGAACTAACCATCTGAGATGAGTGCATTCTTTTTAAATTTGTGGCTTGCTTCCCGTTTATACTTTTCCAAATTTCCATACCGTTTTATAAAAAAAATATTAATTTTGATTAACGTCATTTTTTTTGCTGATAAGTAATTAAAAATGTTGAAGGAGCATAAAATAATAAAAAATCAATACAATTTACTTCAGTGCTACAAAAAAGGTGATATTAGTTATCGGAAAAGGTGGTACTTTACCAACAGCAAAATATGACATTAGTAGATATTAATAATAACCAGCCCTCAAATGATGAAACGAAATTATGTTACTTAAATATTAAAAAAGTTTTTCATCTTGTAAAGACAATCCGGGGTCATACTGTATATCACACATTATGTGCACAAAAAATGTTGATTTTCGTGACGTATTTGCAGAATACTTATTGCTGCTAATCATCCAATTTAAAAAAAAACTTAGTTGCCAAAGAAAAATCTTATTAGCTTTAAATAGATTTGTAACGAGATTATTTTTTACTATATTTATATGAAAATATTGAGTTTTACATCATAAATTATATCTATGAACTTAAGAAAATCTTTAGTTAAAGTTCAGTAATATTTTTTTAAATACATATTTATATCATACTGTAATTTTTTGATGGATTATAAATATATATTTTCAAATTTTAATTACATTTTTCCATTTTGAAAAGAATGGCTTATTATTATTTCGATACAAAACTGTTTTATTATTGTTAATCTCATATGGAGGGAAATATTTCAGTATAAAAATTTTAGATTACGTCATTTTGACAGTTTTGAATATAATGACGTATTGTTTTTAAGTGTCAGATAGTTTGTTAAATCGATACTTATC